GTTTTGTCTAGTTTATGAGCTCGTTGCTGTCCTAATTTAGGATCTTTTTAATAAATTCTTGAGAATGTTAAAAAAGAGAGAGAGAAAGGGGGCCTGGCAAAGATGTTTGCTCCGGGGCCTGTACTGGCTCTAGATAAAGGAAAATAAACACTGCCACTGTGTTATTGTGACAGTTGTGGTAATGTGAGGTAAAAACGGCTGCTGCTATGATTTTGTCTGGTTTATGAGCTCGTTGCTGTCCTAACTTAGGATCTTTTTAATAAATTCTTGAGAATGTTAAAAAAAGAGAGAGAGAGAAAGGGGGCCTGGCGAGGATGTTTGCTCCGGGGCCTGTACTGGCTCTTGATAAAGGAAAATAAAGACTGCCACAGTGTTATTGTGACAGTTGTGGTAATGACAACTCCAGACATAAATTTTAACTTGCATTTGTTCCCTTCAAAAATATAGGTAAAATTTCATGTTAAAAAATAATATTAAAACTTTTGTTTCACAATGCAAATTCCACAAGAATATGCCACTTCATAGGAGGCAGGAAAAGACATCAAATGCATCACAGTTTATCTACTTGATATGTCAATAGAGTAGTTTTACTGCATTTACAAATATACTTTTTTTGTGGAATACAATTTTATTTAAGTTATTTTTATGTTTGATATTATTTCTTCTTAACCTAAGTTTGCTGACTTCATTCATCTTCCTTTGTTGTGTTGTGGATGTAACTGAGAGCTGCTTGGACAAACATAGACCAATGAAATGGCTTTTACTAGTGATGCACTAGTAAAGATTTGCATGTAATAGACATTTCTTCTGCATGTGAAAAGAAAGCCTGTATCAGACATCATTCACTTTGAATATTTTCAACCACTGGAATTAAATTACTCATGTAAATATTTATTGTTAATTGCTATATTTCTGTTAAATTTCAGAACAAAACTACTTTTACTCCTGGTAGTGTAATAAAGCAAGAAGCATGTTCCAGTTTCAATACTCCCAAAACATTAGACATTTCAGAAGAATGGGGTGTGGAAGAATGTTAAAAATGATTGGTGTTTTCCAGATTATTGCTGGCATCATTGTAAGTATAATTGCCTATCAAGAAACTTTCTCTTCATACAACAACTCTCCTGTTGAAGATGATGCAGAACCAGAGAAAATAATTGGACCAGTGATTGTTTTTCTAGGGCTTCTAGCAACATTATCAGGAATTTGGCTGTTTGTATCAGCAAAACAAACACTACTATTGGAAAGTCAACAACGACAACTACAAAACCAGCTGTCAAGTACAAATCCACAGCATCCTCAAGTTTCTGATAGTAGACCTGCTCAGTCATACCTTCAATCACAAGTTGTATATTCTTCGACTGGTCAACTAAACCAACCTTTACATGGAACTGATAACACTTATCCTCCCAGTGGACAACCAAACCAACAACCTTTCATTGGAAGTGGAACTACATTCCCTGCCTATGAACCTTCCAGTCTACCTTTCTTTGGAACTGTAAATACTTACTCTTCCACTCATTGTTTCCCGCACCAGATACCACCACCTTGTTTAATTTCAGGATATTCTCCAGCTTATAATGGAAGGAACCAGCAGCAACTTTATAGTCAAAGACAATTCCCATTTATTCCTTCTGGTTCTGACTCAGCACCAATATATGCTGTTTGAAAATTGTTATTCATGAAAAAAAATAGTTTCATTTACTAAGCCTTAAACAATATTAAACACTGACTTTAATTTATATATCTATATATATATAGCTTGGAAAGACTTTATTTTATTTACATTCCACTTTTGAATGTTAACGTCTACAGTTTAGTTTGTTTTAATATTTATGGAGGTGCAAAGGTTGTTAATTTATCAAAAAGAATGGAAGGTAAGTAATTGCAAGATAAATTTCTAAAGTATGAACAAGATTGAAGATGTGTGTATGATATACTAATGGGAGTGTTAAACTTCTGTTGAGCCTTAAGTGATAGACGTTCTGTGATAATAATTATTATGTGATGTTACTTGTATAAAAAAAACAACAATACATTTTATTCTTAATTGTAGTTAGTTTTCTCTGTTATTTTGTATTTTCTTAAGTTCACGTACAGCATCAGTACATTGAGTGTAGATACAGTAAGATTGTGCTATCCTGAAAATAAAGCTAAGATTCTGTACAAATACTAAAAATAATTTATGTAGCTCTACTAAATTATAATAACTGCATGAAAAATCACACAAGATTACTTTGAAAATGTTAGTTTTAATGAAATAAATCATTGTTTGATATATTACTTTACATACTTCTATTAATCTCATTTGTTTGAAGACTCACAGTTATGTAATGTTATTTTTTTGTAGTTAATATCAAACCAGTAGGCAATACATCATCTTAAATAGATGTAGCTGTGGTTTAAATGCCAGTATTGAATCAGCTTGTATAACCAGTAGACAATACATCATCTTAAATAGATTTAGCTGTGGTTTAAATGCTATTATTAAATCAGCTTGTGTAACCAGTAGGCAATACATCATCTTAAATAGATTTAGCTGTGATTTAAATGCCAGTATTAAATCAGCTTATATTGCATTAAGGCATACTCTGTAATTTTTTCTGTGGTGTAACTACCACTGTGATAGCAGCTTGTATTCTATTGAAATACATGATACATTCTCATTCGTAAATAAAATACCATTTTTAGATGTCTTTCTTCTGTTTTACAAAAGTTTCAATATCTATTCCAGACTTTGACTTGCATACTGTTATTAAATTAGCTATATTAAAAACAATATCATATCCTAGTTGCCTAAATATCATTGTTAATTTAGTTACATGAAATTGAAATATATATAATCAGCTCCCAAAATTTTCTAAACACTAATGTTAGATTAGGTATATTAAATGGAATATATTATCTATTCCCAACTTTGGATTAAATCTTTCCATTAGGTCAACTGTATTAAATTAAAATGCATTGTATGTTCCCAAGTTTTGCTTAAAGCCCATTGTGAGATGGGTTAGATTAAAAATGTCATGCTCCAAACAGTCTTACATCCTTCTGCTAAATTAGCTATATTAAACAAAACATACAATCTTGTTCCAAGTTTCTTTTCAGTACAATTTATAGATTAATTATGACTGATACACATTATTTGTTTACTACATTTGACTTAAATTTTATGTAGATCGGGTATGTTAATTAACCATCTAATCTTTTCAAAATTGAGTGTAATATCATTGTGATATGATGTTTTCTTTAAATAACTCACTAGATCATACTAAAATACATACAAGTTAACTGTAGTTGAATACCATTTTTAGAAGTATTTTGGTTAAAATACATTATCTGATCATAGCCAGGACTTAAGTAATATAAATAGATGAACCTACTGATTTAACATAAAATTTAAGGACAATAAAGGCCATCCCATCCACTAAACTTTCAAAATAAAAAAACAACAACTCCAAGCCGGTTTATTTATCAAGACATCATTTAAAATCCGTTAAATTGACTTCATCCACCACATCTGAAGGTAACCCATTTCAAAGGTCAAATGCCTTGTTATGAAAATAACAGTCTTAGCTGAAGATGACTTCTATCTTGCTTAAATTTATATTTGTGTACCCATAACCCTACCATTTTCACTAGTAGATATAAAAAAAGGAAAGGAGCCCAAGATTGAATGCAATATTCAAAATGTGACCAAACCATTCCCCATACAATGAAATATATCCTCTTTAGACTTGTATTCAAAATTTCTGTAGATAAAACCTTAAATCCTATTTGCCCTACCACTAGCAATGGCACACAGTTTGGATGATTTAAGAAATTAATCAACTAGAACACCAAGATGTTCTTCCATAACACTGTTAAGATTATTTCCATCAAAACTATAATTCAAATATGGTAATTCGTATGCAAGCATTAACTTACATCTATTATAATTAAAAATGATCTGCCATTGTTAGATATACATGACTGTTCATTTTAAGTTTAATATGAGAGTATTATTTAGTTTATTTTAAAGCTTTGGATACAACTGTGGTGAATAGCTGTATAACAAACATTTGTATATATGTTTGACTTGTTTTGAATGTATTAATTTAAAACAAGTGGATTATGTGCTGTCAGTTTATTGTTGAATTGATCACTAATAAGTCACAGACACCTACTGTAAAGAATCCCGGCCCTATAAAATCTGACATTGGTGAGCCAGGCAGGATTATACAGTGGTAGAAGAAGACGTGAATGACAGCAGAAACAGGCCTATATACGCACAGCTGTAGTGGTGGCTAAAATATTGAAAAGTTCAAAACCTCACTATCTACCATATAGACTAACTTTGATAAATGGATAGAGAGAGAGAGGTGAGCGACTTAGCCATAAAGATAGTGGTCTAGGAGAATTTGTTAAACAACCAGAAGAACTACAGTGAGAAGAGCATAGGCGGAGAAGAGAGGAAGAAAGACTGAATGAAGAAAAGAAGAGACTGGAAATAAAAAATAAGAGTACAAATTGAGAAAGGAGATAGAGGATAGACTGCAAATAGAGAGAATAAGAGCACTATTTGAGATTGCAAAGCTCACCCAACAGAAAGATGAAGGACCCAAGAATGAGACTGTGGTTAGGGCCAACCAACCCAAGCTGCCCAAATTTGAAGAACAGAAAGATGACATGGATACTTTCTTAAAGAGGTATGAAAGATTTGCCCAAAGTCAGAACTGGGACACCGATGACCGAGCAGTCTGTCTCAGCCCACTTCCCACAGGAAAAGGCCCACAAATGAATGCAGGCATGACATCAGAAGATGTGTTGGGCTATGACAAGTTAAAAGTGGCCTTGCTGAAATGCTATGAACTTACTGAAGAAGGTTTTCATCAGAAGTTCAGTGAAGTTAAACCTGACACTGGAGAAACTGTATTTCAGTGACACTTTTATGGCAATACTTCATAAGATGGACTGAGATGGCCAAGTCTGAAGGTAGTTTTGAAGGACTGGCAGATCTACTAATATGTGATAGGTCATGATCACATGCTCAACTGATGTGTCACTATTCCTAAAGGAGAGAGCACCAAAGAACATGGGTGAGATGATCAAGCTAGCAAAACAGTATATGGAAGCCCATGGAGGGAGTATAACTGACAAATTCAAGAATAACCAGTCAAAGTTGAAACGAGGGGTGGCTAGCCAAAAGCAGGATGCCACTAAAGGGGACAAGATGTTAAAAGACAAATGGGAGAAGAGATGCTTTGCTTGTTATAAGATGGGGCACATTGTGAGTGAGTGCAAGTCTGTCACCAACAAGCAGCAACAGAAATCTCGACAAAAAGTAGCTGGATCCACCTACAGAGATAATCCTGTCAAGAAACAAGAAAAGAGTGACTATCACCATAGCTGCTATTGCCAAAAGAAACAAATAGAGACAAGCCAAATTCACCACAAAAAGGAAGTGCTATCTCCATGATTAAACAATGCATGGTTGATGGTCAGCTCAAGTTAGCAAATGAGTCAACAGTGCCAAATTGGAGCATGTGATAAACATTGAGAGGTGCCAACAAATCACAGCATACCAGTAGGTAAAGGCTATGTCAGGCACAAGAAAGTGAAGGTCCTATGAGACACTGGGTGCAGCAGTGAGAACCAGTCTAGTATCTGATGACCAGATGACAGAGAAGGTACATCTGTGTGTGCTGATTGGTGGGACAGTGAGAAAATTTCCCGTAGCAAGAATAAAGGTAAAACAGTATAAGCAAGAATAAAGGTAAAAAAATACTTCCTGCTGATTTTTCCAAGCCCGTTCCCTTGGCTGTGATTTCGCTAGAAACATGTGGGAGACCTTGAGGCCATGTGTATGAAGATACCCATCACTGACTTGATGATCGGCAATATACCAGGCAGTAGAAATTCAGAAGAACCAGACGGAATGGAGACTGATGGGGCATCTGCAGTCACCACAAGAACTCATGAAAAGAATAACAAGCAAGACATTAAGCCCCTTTAAGTTTCGAAAAGTGATATCCCGAATGTAGTTTTATGGGAACTTAAAGAAGCACAGAAGAAAAATTCTTCACTGCAGAAACTTTGAGACAGTGCCAGAAAGAAAGTAGAGCACAAGACCAAAGGGAAATAGACCTACAAAATAGAAGATCAAAAAGGAATGATGTACCAGATTTCTCAAAGCAGTTCTATGGGGGAAGCTAAATGCATCAAAGGCAGTTCTTTGACAAGAAGGCCAAGGGTTGATGTTTCAAGGTCAGAAGGTCTGCTCCAACAAACAGTAACAAAATGGAAGTGGTCAACAAAATGAACTGTAAGGTGAAATTGGAAGGGAAGACCAAGATCTACCATGCCAGTCTGTTAAAGAGGTACTTCGAAAGAGAAGTCATAACAGGTGCAGAAACAGAAGACAGTGACTTTGTCATAGAATGTGAAGACCTATTAGACTTAAGCCAACTGGATGGAGATGAGACGTACAGAAATGTCAACATCATTGAACAACTGACTGGCAAGCAGAAGACAGACCTACAAGAGCTACTGTGCCAACTGACACAGGTGTCTTCACCAATAGACCAGGCAAAACAGACCTTGCGCAACACAAGATCAAGATGAAGCCTACTAGATTCCCTATGAGATGAGAGACCACCAATGTTGGTGCAAATTGTATGAGTAGACTTTTTGTATGAATTAAGAACAGTCTGTATATATTATAAAAAATATTGTAAATATTTTTCTTGAAGAAAGGTTTATTGTTAGATACACACGACTGCTCATTTTAAGTTTATTATAATATTTAGTTTATATTGTGTGAGCATTAAAGTAAGTTCTTTTAGAAGGGATAGTTATGGCAAATTTACTCACACAACTGTTTAAGAATCATTTGTTGTTTAGTTCAGTTGTGAATTGATGTCATGTTAGTGCAAGTAAGTTAGTGAAAGTCAGACAAAATTAGTGATAGATATGGTCAAATAGATATAGAATGTGTTTGAAAGTTTAAACATAAAGAATGTATAGTGGTGACTTTTAAAGCATAATAATCACAGATTGTATTGTAATAACAGAGTAGAGAAGAATAATTCATCTTGTCAATTGGGTTCTAAAGTAACTGAACCAGCCTGTGTGGACTTTTGACATATTTGAGAGAATTATTTAAAGCTCTGGATACAACTGTGGTAACCCATGGGGTAACGTGAGTTTATCACTGATTGTATTGTGATAACAGTAGAGAATAATAAATTGTCCTGTCATGGGTTCTAAAGTAACAACCATTTTGTGTGGACTCTTGATGAAAAGAGAAGATTATTTAAAGCTGTGGATACAACTGTGGTGATTAACTGTGTACCAAACATGTGTATACATGTTTGACTTGTTTTGATTGTATTATTTTACAACAAGTTGATTATGTGCTGTCAGTTTATTGTTGAAATTTATTGTCAACAAGTCACAGCCTTTCTACTGTAAAGAATCCTGCCCATTCATACATACTTAAGATACTGACAGCCATTTATTCACCCAACCCACCAATCAATCTTAATATTTGTGTAAAGCAGCAGCATCCCTCTCACAGCCAACAACACTCAAGATCTTAATATCATCAGTAAATTTTAAGTAACTTATTGACCAAAATTGAGTGTTGGGGTATCCCTTTTGTGACATTAATCCAGTTTGACTGAACTCCATTTGTAACAACCCTCTGCTTTCTTCCATC